AAACGGCAGCAAACAGTCTGTGCTGTGCTTGAACAGAACGCTGAGATGTAAGTGAGGGATGAGGCGGTGTGTCAGGCTTTAATTTATTTGAGGTGATCTGTCTCGGCACACAACATTGGAGCTATTGAGCGTTGGTGTCAGTTGATGGATTTAACCCTGTCTCTCTCTCGCACTGAAGCATTGCTTTATTATGCCTGACTCTGGCAGGCTGCTCAAGCAGCGATTTCCCATCACAGGGCAAAACACGATCTGCGTTTTGATCCAAACCTTGTCTTACCACAGTGGATACTGGGTTTCATAATAGTAATAAAAATCCTTTAATACAGCGCCTTATTACGTCTTCCAGATGTCTCAACGCGCTTCACCAAATATTATTGTAAAGTGAATTGACTGTATATTTTGTGGACGAAACGCCGCAGCGAATTGCACACAGCAGTGTCCCATAAACAGTCGTGGATTGAATGACCAAATTTTTTTTTGAGGGATCATTAAACCTGGAAAAGTGATCCACTAACAACTGGGTTCCTACTTACTGCTGAATAAACAGAGGCGTGTGCAGTAAGGAAACTTGCCTAAGGTTTTGTCTTGCTCGGGATTCAAACACAGGTCCTCTCGCTTGCGAGGCGACGCTAACCACTGCGCTAATGACAATCTATATATTCATTATAGCGTCTTTCATGTCAGGTGAATGTCTCAAAGCGCTTCACAGGATTTACTGTATAGTATAGTGACTATTGTGGGCGAATGGTCTTGAAAGCTGAGACAAGGTGGAATTTCAGGAGCACTGGGTACCTTTTCCCGAGAAAGATGATTAACAAAAAAAATTTGCATTGCTCTTCCTGCTTTCCTGGTTGACATCAGGGAACTTAGAATCGACTGGCGATTACACCTGAGACATTCCTGTTCTGTACTTATGGTCCAACTAACTCACTGGATAAACATGCTGAACACAACTGTAATTGTTGAGCATAAATCTAGCAAGCTGTACAAAGTCTCGCCCCAAAAGACAGTTGACTGTTAAGTAGAGCTGTCCACACCAGCACAAGAAATTTGTCCGCTTTGTGGGTTTCGCTCTCCAGAGCTGATGTTAGCAACTAGACAGAGCGGCACAGAGAGCCGTCCACGAGAGCCTGAACATTCCTGTTAATCGAGTGGTGACCAGATAGCCTGGTGCTGGTGTGATTCACAGTAACTAGAGTCCCGGCAGTCCCTATTTGACCTGCGTGTCAGCTGCCATTGCTTGTAACGTGCATGCTCGCATTATTGCATACGCAAGCGAATAATAAGAGCTGCATTGCTGTGAGCGGGTGCAAACCCCCACCCCACCAATCACACCTGGAGATGCTGAAATTCCGGGCGGACGGCAAGAAAGCGTGCGGGCAGAGAATGTGTTTGGCGGAGAGGTACGGTGACTGACATTTTTAGAGCTGGTGATTATTTAATGTGTGTGTGTATGTGTGTATATACAGCAGTGAATAGGATTTATTGATCTGGAGCGTGGGAAAAGCAGTGAGCTTTGCAGATCTGCAGCTGAGTCTCCTCCAATCTTTCTTCTGGCAGCTGAGAACCAAATCTGCAGCGAGTTAACCCTTGCTGAGCTGCGCGAGATACGTTTGAAAGAGGTTTTGAGGGGGGAAACAAAGGGCGAGGTGCTTTATTGCTGCTGTTCAGACACTGACAACGAAATGACATAATCATCTAGAGTGATACAACATACAAAATGGACCATTTGGGCCAATTGGCCCATACTGATGTTTATACACTACATGAGCCCTCACCCTTCCTAGTCCCCTCTCCTACATGCCTCTACGATAAGATGAACTTTTTTAAGAGAGAGGGGTTGTTGAAGATTCCGCGACACTATTTGGAAAAAGAAGATAGTTTCTCCCAGTGCTCTGGTCAGATAAAATTAGTCATTCATCTTTCCATGGCTGTTTGTGTGACATTGCAGTGCGCAATTTGGCTGCCAGGCTTGTCCACAAAATACGCAGTCCCACTGGAACCTTCTACTTAAAGCTCCCAGAACCAAAGGACACGAAAGCCAATTATAATTGCCTCCATCACCAGCACTCGAACTGAGCTCATCTTCTCAGTGCTATGGATACACTGCCCACTTATTTGATTTTATGTGTCACGCACTAAAGTGGCTTCAGTGAGGAGTTCAGGAATCTTGTACCTCGTAGCCTGTTCTGCTCCCAACTATTAACGTTGTAAAGAAAGGACCTTTGGGCCTAATTTACGATATTTCTTACCTGGATCCTTTGATAAGAAACCTGAATGGTGCACACCACAATTAATATCATTAATAATCCTTGTTAAGAGATTCCATTATGCAATGCCACAATTTAAATAAATAAATTAACAATTTAGTCTCTCAATCCACGACTGTTTGTGGCACACTGCTGTGCGCAGTTGGCTGCTGCGTTTCGCTCACAAATATACAGTCAATTCACTTTACAGTATATTCTGTGAAGCGCTTTGAGACGTCCAGAAGATGTGAAAAGCTCTATATCAAATGCAAGGATTATTCTTATTCTACTATAATTTAGAGTCTGTTGTATACGGTAATTGTACTGAGCCACGTTATTTCCAAAGTGAAGATGCCTTTGGTACTCTGCAGATTGGTTTACAGCCTGCTACAGTATTGAGTGAGCAGTAATCCTGGATTGTTTTGTGGGCCCTTTCTGCCCGGGTTTGCCTTGTTCTGTAACATGCAGATGAAGCCACTCGGGCTAGGGTTATAAATACAGGTCCTGAATGCGATGACCTTTTCGAGGTGGAGGAATCTTAATCCGGTTATCTGTATGTTTGATGGATAACATGTGTTAAAAGCGCAGGGAATGTGGGATTTATTTCACAAATCAACATGAATGATTTTGAGTAAAGGGACTGAATATATTTCAGGACTGGAAAAACGTCACTGACGAGTTTCACTTTTACAGCTCCTTTCAAAGCAAGATGAACGTCTCAAAGCGCTTCGCAAAGGCAATGCTGAGGGTAGAGGAAAATGGAGTTTGAGAGTGTTGAACAAAAGGCACGCTCAAAGAGTTGTGTTTAATAATAATAATCCTTGTATTTCATGTAGCACCTTATCCCGTCATCGAGACGTGTCAAAGCGCTTTAAAGTGGAGGTACTGTGATTAAAATCGAGGTCTCGTCTGCCTGTTCAGGTAGTTGTTAAAGATCCATTGACACAATTTGGAAAGAGAAGGGAGTTTCTTCTGGTGTCCTGGTCAACAGTCTCCAAAATAAAATTTGTCGCTCACTTTGTGCCGTTTGTGGGACACTGTTGTGCACAAATTGGCTGCCGAGTTTGCCTGCAAAATTCACAGTTCAAATGCTTCACAGAAAACTGAAGGGTTTAAAGATGTTTTGACTCAATCGGTGCTATATCGAATGCAAGGATTATTATTATTTTCATTATATTTTGCTTTCCAAATGGAAATAACCAGACGTCAAAAGAATGTGCAGAGGGGAAGGTGGGGACCGTGATGTTCTCCAGAGCTGGTGCTGCATATTTCTCGGAAGCCTGTGATGTTCTTGATATGATTTTTATGATTCTCAAGCTGTCTGCCCACCGATAGGGAGATGACTGAAGTCTTTGAAAATGATGAGAGGCGTGGAATGAGTGTATCTATGGAGGCTATTTTGATTTATTCTGTGAGCAGTGAATACAGGATTGCTTCATGTCCTCCCAAATGATCCGCCCACTATCGGTGGGCAAGCTTTCAGCCATTCTGCCCCGCTCTCCAGAACTCCATCCTGAAGTTCCTGCACCTTGCCCCTCCCCTCTTTTCCCTTTAAAGCCCACGTAAACTTGTCTTTTCAACACTGCTTTCAATGACCTTTCCCTCTCTTGCCATGCTCCTCAACTGAAAGCCTCATTATAGTTGTAAATTGCTAAATTAATATTCATATTACTAGTATTAATCTAAATTAATATATCTACAGCAACTATAACTTCAGAGAACAGAAGATGGATGGTGGACTAATATCTATTTCTCACCCACAAAACTAACATTTAAAAGCAAAGTTGCCTTTGTTGACTTTTGCAAAGATTTTCCGACGTCTTTGCAAAAGCGTTTGCGTTATGTAAGCGGAACCTGCGAGGTGGAAAATAGTTGGAAAGAAAATGAGACGGGGATTGGAGGAGGTGAGGACGTGAATCAGTACGTTAGATAGGTTGTCTGAGCTGGTCAGTTTTCAAGTGCAATTTGGACAGTAAAATAATAGGAATAATAATCTTTGCTTTTGATGAAGTGGCTATAATGTTGAAATGTCTGAAAGCACTTTAGAGTAATTACTGTAAGTGTAGTGAATGACTAATTTTATCTGGGTGGATTGTTGGCCAGGACACTGGGAGAAACTTGTTTCGCTTTTCGAATCATGCCAGTGGGAGCTTTAACCTGATCAGTCAGAAGGGACCTCGGTTTAACATCTCATCCAAAGGATGGCGCCTCTGACAATGAGCCGAACTGAAAGAAATGTGTTCAATGGTCGGGCGTTAAGAAAGGAAATGCTCCCTTGTGTGCAGTGGGATATTTATTAACCGCACACTTATAATGTTACAGATTTTCTTATCGCAATCTCAGTGATTGTTGCCTTTTTCAGCGCCTTGGGACGTCCTCCTGACGTGAAAGGCGCTTTATAAATGGAATCTTGTTGTTGTTGTTGTTTTTCTTTTGCCATCCCTAATCAATAGACGCCTTGGCTCAAATTGAATGCAGCCAGGTGTCAAAAGGAAGGGAGGGTAATATATGATCTGGGAGCTGGCACCAGCGCTGTGTCGCAAGGGGCTGGCAAATTCTACATCCCTCCGTGAAGAGTGGGGAAATATTGACATGTCATGCATCTTTGCAAAGTAATGAATTCCGCGCCTGAGCGTTTGCATCAACAAAGTGGGGGGAGTGCACGATTCATATTGTGGGGGGAGGTAGGGGGATATCCATGAAGAAGCTTTAATTGTGGGCTAATTCTCTTGTGTATCTGTCTTATCGCAGTCATAATCGACGGACTACATCCTTCAGGCATCCAGTGACTGGAGAGATTTCCCAAGAAAACGCTGAATTCATCTTGAACGAACAGTAAGTAACACGGTGGCTTTTCGAACATTGCAGCCAGAAGCACAGGATGGCTCTTTCAATGCATAACATTACAGTCGCCTCTCACGACTGCTCAATAAGTTGCCCATTGCTTGGCCTGTAATTGGGGCTGTTTGGTTGTGATTCAATCATCACCTCTCCCTTTTGCTGTCTGTTAGTCTTGAGCTGCTGTGTGAGTAAGCAATGGCTTGAGATTGGTACATCGGCGCCCATGTAAAACAAGCCTCCTTGAAGCACTTTAATAATAATAATCCTCGCATTTGATATAGCGGCTTATCACATCTTCGAGACGTCTCAAAGTGCTTCACCGAATCTACTGTAAAGTGAATTGACTGTATATTTGGTGGGTGAAATATTCAGTAAATTATAATTGTAATATATAATATTACAATAATAGTTCTTTTAATTAAAATATACTTTACACTCCGTTCTGAGTGGAGAATGAAGTTACTGTTGTAGAGGCAAACGCAGCAGCTCATTTTCACCCAGCAATGTCCTACAGACAGTAATGTCCTGAAGCAGCCGATTCCTTTGATTGTTATTTGTCTGATGCGGGATAGCGGGAGAATTAAATTTGGATGAGAGAGGAGAGAATAAGCCAAGATAAACAGGAGAAAAGCTCCATGGCTCTTTCAAATAGAGGCAGGGGGTGGGTTTTTGACTCCCATCTTAGTTCGTTGGGTGCTTTGCAGCTTTGAGAAGGTTATAGTCACGGTGTGAAGTGTTGAGCGATGGAAAGTTTGCAATGCGAGCACTTGCTATCAGAATGGATGGGACGTTAAACAAAGGGATGGCTTCGACTGAGGCATCAATCCACCGCACCCCACAGCTAATTGTATTTTTGATTGTATTCAAATGTTTATTTTGTTGGCCAACCAAAAAGGATGGCCATCACTGGTCTAGGCTAATACTCCAGTGCGTCATTGGGTTGAGCACTGCTTTTTGGTGAGAAGCTAAACCCAGGCCCTGTCCGCTGTTCCTCAGGTGGATATTAAAGATAACATGAAACAACTGGAAATTGGTTTTCTGATGTCCTGGCCTGCAAAGCTTTTCCTGATAAATTAGTAGTCAGTCCGTGGCATTTAGTGGGACCTCGCTGTGTGCAAATTGCTTGATGGACTAACCACGATGACAGTTTTACCCCATCAGCTAATTTCTCAGGATTGCGGAAAATAAACAGGCAGATGTTAGGACCCAGAAGATACATATGAACTGCACCCAAATTGGCAGCAAGGCTCACTTGATTGATTCCAATGCCAAGCCTCAGAAATTGAGTTTGCTCTGTCAAGTCAACGGTAAAGAAAGGAAATGAATCACATGCAGGGATTGCTTCACCTTCCATCCCTTTATCAGCTGCACGTTGCAGGGTTTTATTTTTAAAAATGCTCTTCCTATTTCAAAAAGGAACAAACCTCGCTCTCCGCTCACCTTTGCTTACCTACTTGTTGGCTGCGGACGGTGGTTGGGTTAATTGCCTGATCTCCCCAGAGAGCGTGTCGTGTCGTCGTTAACTGCACTGCACCACGTGGAAGAGCCAGTCTCTGTGTGAGCAGCGTGTGTCACGCCAGCATTTGTTTGCTGAAATGCCTACGAGACACCTGCATCTCTTTCAAACAAAAGCCCTCTTTTTTTTTTCCTTTTGCCCCCTCTCCCCCTGCTCACGCTGGTCATTCCGCTTAAGCGGAGGAGGTGGGGAGGGGGTTGGTGGGAGTGGTGTCCTGTTTGCCAGACTCTGCCACTGATGTTCCACGAGAAATAGTGTGATTGAATTGTCCTTCCCACTTTAATACCTCTTTCTCTCTCTCTCTCTCTCTCTCTCTCCCTCTCTCCCCGAAGCAAAGCGATTAAAAGCTCACCTTCCCACCTCTCCTTGAGAGCTGGTGAAGATCAGCCGAAATGCCAGAGCTTCACGCCGGCTTCCACTGAGGCGTCAATTCACCGCACTCCACAGCTAATCGTATTTTTCGTTGTATTTGAACGCTTCTACCCCCTCCTCCCTTTGTGGATACAGCTTCGTCCTATCTTAATCCTGCCTCCAGCTTTTCAGTTTCCTTTTTACATTTCAATTATTCTGTGGCAGCTGCAATAAAATCCAATATCCAGTTAGCCCAACAACTGTGCTTCGCTGCTCCTTCGTGTGCTCAGCCGAGAGAGCACAGAAGTGCGACCACTCCACCGACTTAAGTTAAGGCTGGACACGAGGAACAATTGTTGAAGCAATTTCAGAAGCTGTCTGTGAAGGAACAGAGAAAATCAGAGACAGGAGAAAGGCAGTAAGATCATCGAGCCCCCTCCACCACAGACCATTTCACCTGAGTCCCATATCCCATAATATCCTCACCCCACAAGTGTCTATCCGGCACCCCCTTAAACCCCTCAACTGATTCCTTGTCTCTGGCTTTCTGCGGCCTGCACGTACCAGATTCTTATCTCTCTGAAGAGATTCTGCCTTGTTTCGGTCTGAACCTGTTTTGTGCTTATTTTAAGGTTGGTTCTTCCTGTAACAGGCTGCTGGGTTGGTCCAGGTCTGATCCAGGAGCCAGCCATTGTTGCATTCTAGGCGGAAACACTCCAATGCAGTGCTGTGGAGAGCACTGAATTGTCCAGAGCGGGGTGCTTCAGATTAGACATTAAACAAGGTCCTGTATACCTGTTCAGGTGGACATTAAAGATCCTATGACACTGCTCGAAAAGAGAAGAGAGTTTGTCTCAGTATCCTGGCCAACAATCCCAACAAATAAAATGGGCCATTCATGTCACTGGCTGTTTGTGAGACGTTGCTGTGTTTGAAATCAGCTGCCACGTTCACCTGTTAGTGCCGTCACTAAATTTCAGTAAAATTCTCTGAAGAGGTTTGAGACAGCGCCTTGGGACGTCCTCCTGACGTGAAAGGCGCTCTATAAATGGAATCTTGTTGTTGTTGTTGAGACCTCTCGAGCACGTGATAAGATAATAATAATAATAATAATAATCCTTGCATTTGATATAGCGCTTTTCACGTCGGGAGGACGTCCCAAAGCGCTTCACAGAATATACTGTAAAGTGAGTTGACTGTATATTTGTGGGCGAACGCGGCAGCCAATTGCGCACAGCAATGTCCCACAAACAGTCATAGATTGAAAATGACCAATTTAATTATTGTTTTTGGTTTTGGAGGGATTATTATTAGGCGTGTGGAGTAAGGAAACTTGCCCAAGGTTTCGCCCTCTGCCTGGAATTGAACTCAGGTCTCTCGCTTGCAAAGCGAGTGCTCTAACTACTGAGCTACAGGACTCCACGATGTTCTCAAATGCAAGGAATCCAATTTTATATTTTTTCTTAGATTGAATGAATGCATGAGTGAAAAGAAAATTTCTATTTTCAATGTTAAAAGATCCGTGGAGTCCTGTACCACATTGGTTAGCTCGCTCGCCTCACAAGTGAGAGGACCTAGCTTCAATTTCCAGGCAGGGCTAAATGTTAGGCAGGTTTCCTTACTCCACCCGCCGCTGCTTACCTGGTGGTAAGTAGGAACCTGGTTGTTTGTTGATTGGCAGATTGTTTTCTGGGTTAATAAACCCTCAAAAAAAACATTGGTCACTGAATCCCACGACTGTTCATGGGACACGGCTGTGCGCAACTGGCTGCCGCATTTCGCCTGCAGATACACAGTCAATCCACTTTACAATATATTTTGTGAAACGCTTTGAGACATCCCAATGATTTGATAAGGCGTTCTGTCAAATGAAAGATTATTATAAGATGCAGGTTATTTTTTGTTAATGTGGACCCAGTTTCTATTCTGAGCTCTACATAACGTTCGACAGCAGCTACATTGCAGAACCTGTGTTCAGCAGCTACTGCAGCTGCTTGTGCCAGTAATGGAGCTCTGGAGACCCAGGCATGTGCTGTGTCTCATCCCATTCATTCAGTTACTATGGTAGCACTGGATGAGATATATGAGCACCTGGGACGGAGTGACTGAAACTTAGGCAAACGGCAAGCACTGTGCGTATCAGAGAGCAGCAGCTTATGGTCGTGTTCAGCACCTGAAAGGCACCGTTCTTGCCGTGAGTACAAGGAATGAGCAGGTCGAACGTTGTGTTGGCTTGATTCTGTCCGTCTCGAATGCAGCGTAAGCCTGTGAGTGTGGGTCTGTGAGAGTCTGCGTGTGCCTCTGTCTACGGCCTCCTCTTTTCACTTAATCTTTTATATGTTATGGCTTTTTTAAAAAAAAATGACGTGTGAAACATTTTAAACGGTACAAATTGAAGGCAAGTGTGCCCGATTGTGCAGAAGGCAGTACATGTGTGCTGGGTTGTGCAGTATCAGTGCGAGGCGCAGATCTGTGATAAGGCTGGTCTCATGGTTTGATGAGTTTGGAGCAGAGACGAAGCTGGCAGCTGCTGGGAGTCGGGCTGTGCTTTAATAATAATAATGAATAATAATCCTTGCATTTGATATAGCATCTTATCACGTTGTTAAGGTGGCTCAAAGCATTTCACAGGATGTACTGTAAAGTGGATTAACTGTATTTTGTGAGCGAAACGCAAGAGGCAGTTGCACACAGCAATGTCCCACAGACAACCATGGAGTGAGTGATCAATTTTATTTCGGGGATTGTTGGCCAGGACTTCAGGAGAAATTCCCTTATTGCAGATATTGAACCTCCACTTACATATCCCAACAACGCTACATTTATACAGCGCTTTCAAATTGGGAGGAGACAGCTCAAAGCGCTTCACAGGATCAGCTGGGAGCCCAAGCTAGGTGTGGGTGAACTAAGGTGGTGGTGGGGGAGGTTGCTGGGCGTTAGAGTTACCAAAAGGTCTTGAGACTGACATTAAAGAGGGGAGTCAGAAGGACTCTGGGATAGTTAGTGAAGGGATGGCAAAATGGCTGAAAGATAGCCTACCAATGGTAGGACGGATAGGGTGGGGTGCATAAAGCAGGCTGGTGCTTGCTGAAGGGAGAGAGAGCTGTGTCAGTAGAGTTGCTGGAGGTCGCAGAGAGTAAGTAAAGTGGGGAGAGGCTCTGCAGGGATCTGAAGACGAGGACCTTAAATTCGATCCGCTGAGGGATGCCGAGCGAGGATGGGAGTGATTAGCTGGTGCGGGAGAGGATATTAAGCCAAAGAGCTGATGCTCATGCTGCACAGTCCCACTCGTGTGTGGCTGCTAAATGTACTCCTGGGAGGGTAAATGGTTTTTCGTGCTGTGGTTAAGGTAACAGAGATTAAACTTATTAAATCAGGCCAAAAAAAAACCTCTTAGGTTTTTCCAGAACCTACAGTGCGAGAGTTGAGACAGTGTAACTGGCATTGAGGGATTAGAAGAATAATAACAGTTTCAATAACAGTGCAATAACAGTTATATCATGACTTTCACCTAAAAGAGAACGTCTCAAAGCAAACGAGGAAATGCGTCAAATGACATCACCCTCTCCCCCACTTCCGTGCTGTAATTCCTAGGATTTGCTTGGTTATTTGTCAGTCGTAATTTCAAGGCTATTATCTCAGTTCGTCTCTTCCTGTGGCTAAGACCTTGTTGATCTAATAACATCAGGACGGAGGAGTATTGACGTATAAGAGCAGTTATGATGCATTTCATCTGCTTGTCAATCTGTTGAACCTGCTCCTGCAAAGGGCAAACCAGAAGTAGCCCAAGTCAGTCAGCCTGGATTTGATGTCTCCTGAGGATTTCTGTTGAACAGAGTAGATATTTTTGGGGTGGGGGAAGGATTGGCTCCAGATTTTCAATTCTTTCTTTAACCGTGTTTCCTGCAACCTCCCCGTCTCGCTTCGAAAAGCAGACAAATGTTCAGGGTGAAATTGATTGCATTTCATTTTTCAGACTACACCAGATTTTAGAACCCTGGCTAAACATACTTGAACACAGCTTGCACCATCCACCATTAACTAAGCCCCATGTCAGGACTCTGATTGTACAGTCTAATGTGCAGTGCTGGGGTCGTTCTGCATTGTCAGTGATGCCGTCCTTCGGGACAAGATGTTAAACCGAGGCCTTGTCTGCCTTTTCAGGTTGACGTTAAAGATCCTATGTCACAATTCTAAAAGAGCAGGGAGCTTCTCACAGTGTCCTGGCCGACAATCCCCCAAATAAAAAGATTATCCATTCACTTCATGGGTGTCTGTGGGACGTTGCTGTGTGCAAATTAACTTCTGCATTTACCTACAAAATACACAGTTGCTACACTTCACAGTATATCCTTTCCACGTGAAAGGACTGTACCAAATGCAAGGATTATTATTAAAGACCCATTCATTTTATGCTATGCTTCCGGTCGTTTGCAGGTTCGATTGATTAAAATCTCTTCTGGTGTCTGAATTTGGAGCCTTGGAGCAGTAATGTTGTATTATGACAGAGGTCTTTAAAATGATTAGAGTTTTGATAGAGGCAACAGAGGGAAATTGGGTAAGATGTTAAAATTGAGGTCCTCTCTCCCTGTTCAGGTGGACGTTAAAGATCCCATGTTCGAAGAGAGAAATGAGTTTCTCTCAGTTACCTCTCGGTCAAATGCAATGATTAAGCAATCCCCCGAATGAAATTGGTCATTCTCTTCATGGCTGTTTGTGGGATAATGCTATGTGCAAAATGGTGGTCATGTATGTGAACCCAGGATTGAAATACTTTATTTGTGATTGGATTTGTGTAGAAATCTACTATTATAATTTTACTGTAATTGTTCAACATATTGACTCACATCAACTGATTTTGGCAAATAAGAATTGATCTGCTACGAAATGGTTTGATGTACAAAGCATTTTACTTGTGCGATAATTTAACATGAAAATTGATTTTCCGATTGAGCTGCACATTAAGTGACCTTGAGGCAACTCGGCAATCCTCCCCGATGGGTTTGAGTGTCATAGAACAACAACAAATTGCATTTGTATCGCAACTTTCCTGTCAGGAGGACGTCCCAAGGTGCTGGCATGTGTGGCGTAACAAAATATAAAGCAGCACTGCCGGGGCACTGGGAAGCAGCCACAGTACAGACCATCCTCTATTGTTTGAGCCAAGCTGGTTTCATGGTCAAAGACTTCAGAATTGGCTCCTCAGGATCTCAAACTGACTGCCACGCTCCCTAGCATGAACTGCATCTCTGACACAGGCAGAAGAGCCAAGGGAAATTGATGCGCTTCCCGTTGACATTGGGATGAGCAGGAGTGGGCAATCTTATCAGGACTCCCATACCTGGTTAGAAATTAACATGGAGCAATGTGATGTGTGTTGCTTTGGTGCTGACATTATGCAGCCTGCCCTGAGATTTTTCTTGTGGGTTTATTGCATCCTCTGTTTCTGTCGCTTCTGTCTACTAAGTGTATCAGTAATGAAGACGAGTAGGTGTGGCGGGCAGCACTAAGTGGTAGCAGCTCTGAATGTGGTCATGGTGAAGTATTATGGCCCTGTTTGATTTGTCAATGCTTGTGGTTAGGGAAAATCTCCCTATCAAAATCGGTTTTAAATGTCATGGAACTGGACTGTTCAATGCTATAAAACAATATGTGTAGTTTGTGGGTGAATCATGTCAGCGAATTGCCTACCCCAGTGTCCCACAACACTGGATTGAGTGACCAAATTATTATTCTTACTACTATTATTAATTTGATGTGTGTCCTCGCTGAGATAGGGTAGGACTGAGATGCTGTGGTTTTTGAACATTGCGGTTATCAAGAGGCTTGGAGGCACCAGTTCTCCCAGCTGCCGCTGATTATGTTTAGCTGCTGACAAGAGATGCATTTTGCTTCATCGATCCAAGTGCTTGGGGGTAACAATAAGAGTTTGTTCACATAATTAGTCTCTAGTAGACACTTCACGTGCACGTACTCAGAGGGCATCAATTCAGAAGTTCTAGTTACGTCTCAAAACATTGCCCGCACATGCTTCCCGTCAACCTGTTTACTTCTGTTTTAATAAGTTGCTTGATTAAAGTGCCGTTTTGTCTCTTCAAGCAGAGGCCAATGGCTTGAGTTTTCAACTAATCCCTGTGCTTGGCACAGCTCCTGCAGTGGTGAAGGGCCTGAAAGTGAGGTGTCGGCCTGACTCAGTCAATAAACACAAGTTCTCCAGGGTACAAACCCCCTTCCCGCACTGCCTGCTTCTCCAGACTATAGCGGCCCATCCTCGAGCAGCCCGGCATTTCACGCGAGCGGAAACCCAAGAGTAATTGAGTTGTCTCACTTTCTAGGCCAAATATCCGCATGTCTAAGCAACAGGCAGATCAAAGGCCGTCCAGTATGGTCAGCGAGTCGTCCACAGCAGTGACCTTGTCCACGATGGACACTGCACCAGGTTCAAAGGTAAGGTTTCTCATCTTATTTCTTTGTGGTGTATAAAAGCTACTGCAAGTTCACCTCCCTTGTTGTAATTCAGTGATTTAAGTGTCAACTTGGCTGGGTTCGTAGCTCTCTTGTCTGTAGGTTCAAGGACCCCCTGTCAGATCTTTGAGCTCCAATTCTAGGCTGTCATCCATGTGTCACTTTGGGAGGGGGAGGGGGGGCGGTGGGTGGCTGCTGTGCTGTATTGTCGAAGGTCTGCTCTACCTGTTCAGGTGGATGTTAGAGATTGTGTGACATTGTTCTCAACGAGAAGGCAGTTTCTGCTGATTTCCTGGCACACACTCCTTCTGATAAATTCATCACCCACGTCATGGCTGTGTGTTGAGCATAAATTGACTGCCTTGTTTACCGACTAAATATATAGTCACTACACTCTGCAGAAATCTGAAGTGCTTTCAGAAGCTTCAGTATTATAAACGTCTTTTCACACATGCAGGGTCTCTGAGTTTTGCTTCGTTGTTGTATAACCTCATTGTAGTATCGTATTCAGGTGCTGAATATTTTGGCCTTTGTAAGCAGCATGCTGATCTGAAGGGCTCATCATGTAGAACACAGGGTGTGGGTTTAGCAACATGGCATGTGGTACTGCGTTCATCTTCTGAGTCCCTTTCAGGGAAGGAAAGGTGGGGAGGTTAGCCGTCTCTCCATAGGGAGAGCTAAACTCAGAGCAGGACATCCTAGCCCACCCTTGGGCTCCTTCCAAACAGCCCGACCAAGCCTATAACACCGAACACCAGAATCGCGCCAAAGGCCTGAAATCTCTCACGCTCTCGTCATGAGGTCCATTGTCTTACAATTTTTGAATCATGCTTGGAAAATACTTAATTCAGAAGCGGGTTTTCCGGAGTTTATATGAAATTGTTTTGCCTTTCAAGAAAACAGGTACAACTTCCTAACTATTCCTTGCAACACAAATTCCCAATGCTTGGCGCCTCCCTGCTTTGTTTGCTTCCACACTGTTCCGAAGGTGATTATATCCTTCCTGTAATTAATTGACTAGAACTACACAGAGTGCTTCTAATTGGGATCTGTCCATTGCCATATAGAACAGATTTGGGGGGAGGGAAAGAATAGTGACAGAGTTTCTGCTAGGAAATTTTATGAAGACTAACTAAAGGGGAAGAAAGGATGAGTGCAACCAATAACTAATCATATGATGAGATTGGAATTTGATCACAATTTGGCTTCTGACCATATGATAGAGTAATAACATAAATTATAATGATGTTGGCTAGATTCAACACTAAAGTGAATCTAGCCATACCTTTCCTGCTTAAAGAAAGATAGTGTAGAGCTCCCGACGTGAAAGATGCTATTTGAATGTAATTTGTTGTTGTTGTTGATCTTCCATGAGATTTGGGATGACATGGTAAAGGGTGAGAATTGCAATCCAAACATAGCAGACAGTATAACCCAACGCAGGGTCTAACCAGCCATGGTCCCTTGTTGCAGTGGTAAAGGAATGGACATGACCTGATGGCCAAGGTCAGAGATGTGGATCTTGGTGGCCTGATCTCTTTCTTCTGCTCCAAGAAACTCTGGAATCTGAGCTCATCCGTGATCGTTCTTCACGGTTTAGTTTAGGAGCGAGGGAGGGAGAGCTTTTGTAATGGCAGCATTTACGTTGCAATTTTAGAGGCTTGAAATATGTTGTGAGGTGACGTCAGGGACACTTTCTGTACGTAACGCGCACAAGGACCCAGAAATTGGCCATTTTTTAGCTCGAGGTAGCTAGTCAGCACCAGAAAGCGTCATCAACAATAACAAATACTGCAATTTATACATTGATCTTCATGTCTCTCTTTTTCTGATTCCGCTGTGTATGCCTCTCACTCTAGTGTATGTGTGTGTGTTTCTTTCTCTTCACCCCCTCTCTCTCTCTCTTCCCCTCTCTGATTTTGGCTGTGTGTGTGTTGACATTTCTCTCTCTCCCTCTCTCTCTCTCTCTCTCTCTCTCTCTGTGACTCCTGCGTGTGTCTCCATAACATTGATCAAGCTACTCTGCAGCAACTATAAATCCCAGTGGCAGTAATTTAGTACTGAGCAGAGACGATCAAACATCAACGGACTTTGACACTGAAATTCTAAGAGAGGCACGACCTGGAGCCATCCGGCTCATATCCGGATTAATTTATCACAGGAACGAGTTAAAGTGAAAGAAACATGATTATGTAGTCACTGAGTTCAAATTCTGCTTGTTTAACTTGACGATTACTCTCTGCCCCTGAAATAATAATTTGCAACAAAAAAAGAGAAAAATGTTTCTTCAAAACGATGAACTTAAAATTCTAGAGCTCAGTGACAATTTCTCTCTGCTAACCGATGGAAATTTTTATCCCAAAGTCCAATGCAGTTGCTCTTGGCCTCCAAATCTTATTCAATGCCATTGGAACATCAGCGTGCCTGCTTACGGGCAGTATCAGTTCAGTATGATTGAGGGCGGTCAGTGTGACGGACACAGACTGAACAGCAGCCTTGGGGATAGGTTGATGTCTTGGCATTAAAGTTCACTCCCTTCCGGTCATTCAGTTCCATTTGCAGAGACAGAGCAAGTGGTGTTCCGGTTTACTACAGGACTGTAGATCACAGTGCCGCAGTTTCTCATTGTGAGCTGCCTAATGTTTGTATAGGGTCTTGGTTGATTGGTACAATATTTGACCTAAGCAATAACGAAAATGCATTTACTGTGGGTTTTAACCTCCCCGCGAGCCACGAGTTTATTTTAACAAGACCAACAGCTTGACTTCCACAGCACCTGCCATGTAGTCAGCAACTATCAGCATCCTAACCTCCGGATCTCCCTCCCTCTACCTCTCCATCTCGCCACACTCTCTACCTGTCTCTGTCTCCCACCTAAAAGCAGTGTCTACGGTCACCACCCCTCCCCCTCTCCCTTGCTCGGAGTCTAACACTGCTTTTGTAAAGCACTCCGCTGTTCTCCTACCCCATTTTTGGTCAATTGGTTGCCGCGTTTTGCTTACAATATACAGTCACTCCACTTTATAGTATATCCTGTAAAGCACGTTGAGACATCTCAACGAAGTGATAAGGCGCTATAGCAAACACAAGGATTATTATTATCGTCCCTCCCTGTCCCCTTTGGCTTCCACCCCGGCTCAGGGACAGACACAGCATTGTTAAGCATTTTTATCTTTGTAAATGTAAATTGAAAATTGTATTGTATGTGAAAGGTGCAATATAAATGCAAGATGTTGCATTTAAATATTTTTTTACAGAGAAAGTGTTGGGAGTCTGGAGATGGGGTTGGGTGGGGGAAAGAAAGGAGGGAGATGACTAAAAGATCAGTCAAAGAGGTAGGAGGACGATTAGCTCCTTGCCTGGGGCAGCAATGATAATAAATCACATCCGTTAGTGTCTGATTTTGATTTAGCCGAGCCAAAAGAGAATAAAGGTGGGATTTAATTTTCCGCAGAGAGATGTCCTGCATTGATCAGAAGCAGTAAATGAAGCAATACTGATTTTCTGCCACAAAGTGGCTTGTTGGTTTATAAATATAACCTTTGTGAGTATCTTAACACTACACCAGGCATGGTTTACTCTCGTAACAGAGTGAGATCTTGATCACCTTGACAGAATATGTCAACAACTTAACATTTAGCCCTACCAGAATGATGAGGAGGTGAAATTAAATTAACATGGGACTTAAATTGCCTTAGAAAGGATTGGTAATTTTATAGCGTCTCATCACTTTGAAATATCTCAAAATCCTTTGCAGATTTTTACTGCCTGACTGAGATTGTCGTTTGCACCAGCAAGGATCCACAGTTTTATCATTGACCAATTTTATCTGGCGGGGGTTTATTGGCCAGGACATTAGGAGAAATTTTCTTCTGTTTTCGAGCAGTGCCACAGGATTTTTTTAATCTCCCAACCGAACAGGCACAGACGAGATTTCAGTATAAAGTTTCATCCAAAAGATGATGCCTCCAGCAGTGCAGCACTCTCCCCGCCCGCAGTACTGAACTGGAGTGTCAGCCTGACCATGAGCTCAATTCCTGATGTGGAGCTCAATCCTATAGCCCGTTGATCTGGTGCGGCCAACTGAGCTGGCTTCACAAATAAGCCTTTAGACGTCAAAATATTCAACTGCCGACGAGGGAATTTGTTGAGAGAGGCAGGAAATTGACCAGGTTATGATTTGGTCAGAATTTTTTCTCCCAAGTGTTGCGTTCAACAACAACTTGCACCCATATAGCGCCCTTCACGCCGGTCGGACCTTCGGAACGATCACAGAGCAATTGCCGTAGAACAGCATAACCCGAAGATGGTATAAAACGTGTGTGAATAAGGTTCGTTTGTTGTGATATCTGGAACTATTTGAGGTTGGTGAGACGTTCTCATGCAATGTACCTACGAGGATTGAGAGTTTGCCCAGGTCTGTTGCTGTGGTTTTTTTAGTCAGCTGGGAATCTGGCACAAGTGGAAACCAATTGCTGTGCTGAAGAGTATCCAAGCCAAACTGAGAGAACCATGCATATACACCACCTACACATGGTTAATGTTGCTTTATTGTTGTGCTGGTCTTACAATAATGCTAACAGATGGGATGTAACTATCTGCATTGGTATCGGCCAGCAGGGATTTGCAGACACTAGGAACTTTGCTACTGATTTAATGTTTGGATGGGGATCATGTCTCCTCTACGGATCATTGAGTTACAATTGACTCTGGGTTAATGTACAGTTAGTCGGGTGACATACATTAACCTTGTAAAAGCAGCTTCTGCGGCCTGCAGACAGTCAACTGTTAACAGCGGAGAGAATGGGCACCAAAGCTGGCCAGGTTAGTGCCTGTCTTTACATTCCCATTTCCTCTCTCTCTCTTCCTCAGGGAAGCGGCTTGTATCAGGTTGGGGTAAGGTAGCCAAAGACAGAGCTCGTCCTCCAGGACCTCAGCCCATTGACCAATTTTATCGATAGTCCTTCTAAGATGTATTTGGTCGTTCATTAGTTTGTGGGAACTTGCTGCGTGCAAAATGGCCTGCCATGTTTTCCCACGCATACACAGTCAGTATATTTGACATTAGTTACTTGCTGTGAGACGTTACCGTGTTATAGGCACTACATCAAATGTAAGGATTTTTGTATGGTGAGTGACAACGTGCGATTAAATTTTGATGCGATCAAGAACTAGACAGGATTGTTAAACAGCATGCTCTTCCTATTTGAAGGATTCAACTGAATCAGTCAAATGCGGATAATGCTTCTGAATTGCATTATGAATTTCAGCATCAGTTATGGCCTTCAAACAGTCTCAGCATTTGACTTGAGATTTCTCAATGACAGAATAAGGCACTATATCAAATACAAGGGTTATTATCTCCCATTTCCTTATTGTCTGAAAAAGAAAAGTTTCTGCATTGTGAGTTCCAGCGTCCGGTTTCTGGGGGGAATTGTTTACCTCCAAAGTCCTCGGAGTGGCTGTATCTCGCCTGTGTAACTTCATTGCCTTGTGACTGAAGACGCACTGATTACCTGCCATTAATCTGACTCCGGCTCCATTCCAACAGAACAATGAATCTCCTGCCACGGGTGGTGAATCAGTGATGTGCTTTGCCATTACTGAAGTGTTCTCTCCTTGACGTTAATGCCCTTTATTTATGGGGCCTTTATGATTAAGGGCCAACGTGGCATAGTCCTATGCATTTGTTATTACTGTACTTATTCATTTAAAAAAAACTTGCATTTGACATGTGTCGGGCCGTTCACATCAAAAGGATATCACAACACTCTTCATATTTTTCGCTGTAAGGTGTAGTGGCTTTGTATTAAGTAAGTGTAAGCATCAGCCAATTTGTGCACAACAATGTCCTTCGAACAGCCACAAAGTGAATTGACTTATTCCCTTTCAAAATAGTGCTACAGAACCTTTATGTCCACCTGAACAGGAAGACGGAACCTCGGTTTAACTCAGTCTCACCTGAATACCGGCAATTCCTACAATGCAGCACCCCCTAAGCACTGCATTTGAATGCCACTTACACATAGAAATTTGCTGTGTATCTTTCTTGGAAATGTACAAGCTCTTCGAAATCCACCATACAGTCAAACTATAAATGGTCCCAAGCTATACAAAGCTCGTTCTAACCCAATCCAACTGTACATGTTGTAGGTAACGCATCTTAGGTTAAAATGATCTTCCTACCTATAATAAGCAGGTAAGTACGTAAAATTAGTTTTTAAAAAAAACCCAACAGCATTTGAAGCGTTGTATAGGAATTGGGATTTCAATTGGCTTTGACTTGGGTTTTTGTGCCTTACAAATTCTACTGATTAAAATCCCCTCACCGTGTTGACCTTCCTACCTCTGCAATCTCTTCCAGCCCAATTCTCCACCCAACCCCTTCTGCTCCTTGAGCCCCTTGCACCCTTCTGCCTGGTCCACTGCTCTTGCTATTTCTCACTCCCTCCTTCCCACCAACGAGTCATTGTGACTGCTCTCTCTTTGCCTTGTGCCTTCTCTCCCTGCCATTAAAACCCTCTTCAAATAATGTCCATCTCTGGATCAAACTCCCCCTTTCCTTTCATCAATACTTGGTTATCCCAATCATCTTAAGGAAGTTCTTTCTTCCATGTCAGTGTCATTGTCATACTACATGTAGGTGCGTATTGTTTCATGCATTTGAAAGGAGCTGTTTCCTCAACTGCGCAATCACATAGAGAAAGACTCAATGGGCTGAATGGCCTTTTTCTGTACTGTAACTGTCTATGATCTTAACCTGGTGAGTACAGCCAGAGAAGTTCAGTAAGTTGCAATGACCTTAAACCCAGTAGTGAAAAGGCATAGTCCACCAAAACTGACACTCGAAAATTCTGTTAAAGAGCAACACCTTCTGACGAAGCAAGCTGAAGAGATCTCAAGAAACAGGCAGAGAGATAAAATCAATTATTTGTACAAGGGCTCCTTTTGCTAAAATCTCCACAGATTCTTTAAAAAATCTCATAAATAGTTAAAGAGACACCCAAGCACATGCACATAGACAAACACACACATTTCTGTAGCTCTCTGTGCTGCTTTCTATGTTAATAAATTCTTCACTGTTAGTACTAGTTGGCTTACAGGCATTTGTTATTCCTCAGATTTGATGTCTGGGCAGCCACAAGGCCCGAGCGCTGTTGTGAATACCTTTTATGTTTTCCATGCTCCAACATTGAATGGAGAAAAGACAAGGAAATAAAGTTAGCACAAACTTAGTGGCTGAACATGTTTTTTGAGCCGAGTCGTGCTGACTTTTCCTCTCCTCTTTGTCTTTACCACCTCTCAAAATTGACTCATCTCAGTCAACCTTAACCCACCTTAAGTCTTTGCAAAGCATTGTATATCTCCGTTCAGTGAATGACCATGAAAAAGAAGGATTATTTTTACCGTTTCTTCAATGTGTGCGTGTATTCATATGTTGATTTTCCGTCAGGTTTCAAGGTCGAGTGGCAGAATCCATAACTTTGGAAAGCGGGAGCAGTCAATCAGGAGGAACCCAAATGCCCCGGTGGTGGTGAGAGGATGGCTGTACAAGCAGGTACAATACTTGGCTTTTATAGGACTGACTCTTCAGTGAGGCTGGCACAATGCAGTATACGTTTATACAGCATGTTTCACATCAGAAGTGGGGCCTAAAATGCCTTACACAGGTAGCTGGGCACCTGAGTTGGGGGGGTGGGGGAACGGGGACTAAAGGGGTTGAGTTGGTGGCGGTTGTTGTGCTGTTTTTCCTGGTTACTGACCACTTGATGGCAGGATTTCGTTTCAGCTTCAGCTACACTTAGTAACCTGGTGCTCAGGAATCCCCAAGACACGACCTGTTGCTGACGCACACTACTTCCTGAGGTCATGGGGAGTCCTAGTCACCACAGCACTGCTAGGAAACCTATGTGCAAATTGGCTGCTTATACAAATATACAGACATTACACTTTACAATGGATCATGCAAAGCACTTTGAGATGTTTAGACAATGAAGCGATAAGGTGTTAAATCAAATGCAAAGACTATTATTATTTTGTAACTTATTATTAACAGTAAACCTTACATTTTGATATAGGGCCTCATCCCATCATTGAGATGTCTCAAAACGCTTTACAGAATATACTGCAAAGTGAATTGACTGTGTATTTTGTGGTTCCATTAATTATTATTATTAATGATAAATAGACCTGGAGTAAAGATCATTACTTAGCTTTTTGATGGATCGCAGTGTTACAATAATTCATAGGATCTGGAGTATAAACCTTGAGCGCTCAGACAAATTGCTTGAACCACTCGCTTGGCTGTTCTGTTTTGACACCATCCGAGTGCTCACTCAGGTATGATTGCCTCTCGTTTCTAGCTCCTCGTTATTCTCGGTAACATGATGACGATTCACATGAGCTGTCAACATCCTTTTGCTGTGTGCGGTTGACCTGATGGCTTATTATCTGCTTGCTCTTGTAGGACAGCTCTGGAATGAAGCTGTGGAAGCGACGGTGGTTTGTCCTCTCGGAATATTGCTTGTTCTATTACAAAGGTGAGGAGACACTGGCATGGGTGGGGGGCCTGAAAGCTGTCAGGAGAGGAGATGGAGAAGCGAAATTAATGGGCCAGACAATTGGAAAACATTGAATGTGCTAAAGATAAACCTGTTGAATGTCTAAATCATTGTTGGACATAACTAACAAAATAATAATAATTTGGTTACGATCCACGACTGTTTGTGGGACGCTGCTGTGTGCAATTTGCTGCTGCGTTTGAGCCACAAAATATTCAGTCATTAAACTTTACAATATATTCCGTGATAAGGAGCTATATCAAATGCAAGGATTATTATTATTGGACTCGTTCTACGTTCAATGATTTGGACATTTGACAGGTTTGCATTAGAAGAAGCAGAGAGTAGTTGGTGTGTAGAATATGATATTTTAATTGTTCATCTGGTAACCCAACTCTGCTCGCTATGATGGTTGCTTATTTTGTATTTTTAATGTCACGAAAGGATCACTGCACCCAGGGATTCCCCATGCTCCTCGAATGAATCTCTTTCATTAACATTTCAAGTCTTGTCAAATCTTGTTGAATTCTTAAATTTGCCTTAATCTGGGTCCTGTTTTTCTGTACTTAAAACAAACTTGTGGAAAGTCAGCTTCGGAATTAAGGTCGGATTTTAAGAACTTTCCAAACTTTGCACAATCTGAAATGATAGGATTCTTAGACTAGGACCATGGAGAATTTGTGGCCCCAACGAGGTCTTGGGGTTGAAGCCCGACTGAATGTGCTGAGACGGCGGATTTGAGGGCAAATGTTGAGGGCGATTGATCTCAGTGTTGCAGGGAGGGAGATGAAGACCATGAGGTCTCCCACTGTGTACGTTCACTGTCGAGGCTCGCATGTGAAAGATGGATGGATGATGAGGTGTTGGAGCAATCCAATGCCAGTGGAACCATATCCCAATTGGAAGGAGAGAAGGCAACACCCAATAGAGGAGATGAAGGGAGAAGATTGGCGAGTTGGATCAGGATTCATCACATTGTGTGTGTGTGTCCGCAGATAGCAGAGAGGATACCGTGCTGGGAAGCATTCCACTGCCAAGCTACGTAGTTGCCCCTATAGAGCCGGAGGATCACATAGGCCGCAAATATGCCTTTAAGGTAGGAACGAAGCCAACTGATGAAACGTTTAACAGAGCTTTTCTTACGACGTTTATGTGAACGCAATGATTGGAGCGTTCGAACACTGTTGGCAAACCACTGTGCTTCAGTGGATTTTGTGTTACGTGGAAGGAAAGTCTGGGTGGTGAGGTACATTTTATCAGTGGAGAGTTTTCCAGCTCTTGCAATTCCATCTCCGACCTTTACCCAGCTCCCCACAAGGCAGCCTACATCCCTCCCCCTTTTCCAAACTTCCCGTCCTCCAACTCAACGGACGTATGTGCCCCTAGGAATTTTTTTGCAGGAACCCCTCCCAAAATGGTTAGGACTCAGAGCAAAACCCCAAGCTGGGGGGCAATGGGAGCAGAGACCAGGAAGTCTAGGGGGGATATTACCCCAAAATCCAACCCAACCCCCTCATTCCCAGGTATTTGATAAAGACTGCAGTCAGATCACTAAAAACACCAAACCTTTGATGTAGGATGGACCCCAGTGTCTTCTTGTTGGCCAATTCACACAAGCTGATGCACTGTTGACAGCTGAGCTTTTCTACTGCTCCCTCCCACCCCAAAACGCTCAAAACGGAGTTCCAACCAGTATTTAAAATCAACGATCAGAACGATGCCATCCATCTCCATGTGTGGGAAGGGTCTGGGTACATCTAACTGTGCACAGAAGTGGAGCTGCAAAATGACAGACTCTTTGATGGGGGGGTAAGAAAGGGGGTATCGGGAAGGTGGGGGGGTTTAAGGTAAAGGACCACTTGAATGGTGCTGAATGGAGAATTACATGGAACAGGAAGTCATCTTTACCACTTTTCCTCCCAGAATTTCCTTCCGTTTAAGTTGCAGTTCTGCGGCTGTTCTGTTTCAATGTGTACATATGCGTTCAGTTTATTGCACTGTTATCTGTTTTTAACTGGTGGAAGTATTGACTTGTATCAAGGCCTGATATTAGCTCTAAAGATAATTGTTTCAGGCTGATGGAAGGAGTGCTGCACACAGTTGAGGGTTTTTAACCCTGCGGATTCTTGATACACTCAGCACAGAAAGCCAAGGTCCACGTCCAGTGGGCTGTGTTTAAAACCCCACACGGGATAGGGTGATGTGCTTTGAAGTATCTGAGAATAAAGCTACCAAAGTCTTTGATGCTTTGCTCAGTAATGTGCCAAGCAACCAGGAAGGATACAGGAGAAATGATCTTCTGTCACTCTCTTCAGTCAATGTTTGTTAAAGTTTACATAAATTGTCCGTGGTCTGAAATCCCACCGGATACCTGTCATCATTTGTCTTGAAATTTTAAGATCGTCCAGAATTGTGAAAAATTCTTAAGTTCAGTTTTAATTTGTACCTTTTTTGGTTTTCTCTTCCCCTATCTCTCAGTCCATCCACTCCAGTCTTGTCCTGGCCAGCAATCCCCCAGATAAAATTGGTCATTCAATTCACAGCTGTTTGTGGGACATTTGCTGCACGAAAATCGGTTAGCCTTCGTCCACAAAATACACAGTCGCTACGCTTCACTGTAGCGGCTGTAGCTTCACTGTAAATCCTGAGACATTTTGACAATGTAATAAGGTGCTGTATCAATAATAATAATAATTCTTGCATTTGATATAGCTCTCCATCATGCTGGGAGGATGTCTCAATGCTCTTCACGGGATTTATATATCAAATTAAAGGGTTAAAAAAAANCACTTCCGAGTCGAGACTGAAGTTGAGAATTTTCCGCAATTTCATGTGATTTAAATTCGAAGGGAAAGTGGTCTTGAGGCCTATGATCATGTGGCCTAGTCTAGGCTGGGACTGGGCAGCGGAATCATTCCATCAGTGTGAAAGTGTTGTCTGCAGAGCGTAGGAGATTGTGGGCGTAGGATGGTCACAAGCGAGTCTTTGAGAGGGGAAAAGTGTCGGAATTTGAGTAACGTTGCTATTTCTTTGACTGGTGGCGAGTTCTTAAATGCTGACAAAGCAATCGGCTTCACTAACGGCAGTCCTGAAGCTGAGCTCTGAACTCAACTGAGAGCAGCATATCTTTCTGTTCCTTGTTCTCAAATCTCAACAGTCTGCAGCATGCCCTTCTTTCCACTCCTTTCTTCTGTCTTGCAGCCCTCCGCGCGTGCTTGAGATTTGAGCAGTCACGAGTGATTACAATCAACCGTCGTTACGTTACTCTGTTCACATGACACAACGTTCAATCTTCTGATCGATGTTCCTCATTTATTATTTAGGACTCACTCCTCGCTCACGGTCCAGGCTTCCTCTAAACACAAACATGGAAAGTTGCACATTGAATATCTTAAGTGAAACATTTAATGCGATTAATGTACCTGTCAGTAAATCAGCGTTAATTGAATGACCTGGAATAGCATCCCACAGTCGCAGGGGAATCCTTGTATCGAGCCTTTATGTAACCGCTCATGTGTGATTGTCATTTAATTCCTTTTCGCTGACCTGTGTAAACTGAATTGCAAGGCATCTGCACTCCAGCCTTGTTCGAACACTGAAACCCCCTGTTATACTGCATTCAAAACTTACCACTGAAATACCTTGCTGTATATCGGATGAAGCGCTTTGAGATGTCCTCGCGTGTTGAAAAGAGCCATATCAACTTTAGGATTAGTTATTTTTTTTCGAACAATACAGTAGAATTTACTTTAATTTATGTTGGGAGAACATCTGAAAATGTTTGATACCCGAGGTGGGGGTGGGAGCTTGGAGAGAGGAAAGATGACTGAAATCATGCTAATGTCTTGAGACAGGCCTGACACAGGCACACTTTATATCCACAGTATACATGGCTGTCTGTGGGACATTGTTGTGCGCAAATTGGATGACAAAATTCGCTCTCAAAATATTGACACTACAATTTACAGTTTACTATGAAGCACTTTGAGAAATCCTCCCGACATGAAAGGCAAGGATTTTTTGTTTTGTTTAACTGTTAGAATGAAAACCACGTACAAATTCACTTCCAACAAATCCAGCACTAAACTGGATTTAACAGAAGAAATTTTGGGCTAATCAATTCTGAAGCTTACTTGTTTCTCCATCCCTCACCCCTTCCCTTCCCCCTTTCCCCACACCCGCCCTGTGTGAAAGTCCCGTTTGTCCTCATTCAATCCAGGTCTTCACTGGAATTTAAGATGATTGAAAAAGAATTAAAGGGGAGATTAGTAGAGGAAAAAAACGTCTTAACACAGAGGGTGGTGGGAACGTGGAATTGTCTGCCGTAAAGCATATTTGAAGTAGAGAGCATGAGTTCTTTCGAAAGGGAGTTGAGGTGGATGCTTGAAATGGAGGAAGATTTGAAGAGTTTGTGCGATGAGCCGGAGACTGAGGGAAGATTGGCAGAGAAAAACACAAATGCACATTTACAAATGCCCCGATTCTGTGCTGTAACATTTCTGTGAAATGCTGTGCAGCAAAATGAGTCACTACATTTGACAGTAACTGCTGGCGTGATGCTTTGTGGTAGTTCGACATGATTTGGACGCTATAAACATGACAGAGTTCTTTCTTTCCTGGGAATAGCTGAAGCCGGAAATTTATGGGGGGGAGAAAATTACACACACAACTTTGCAGGCTGTGTTCTGTGTCCCAGCGAGTCGGCAGGCTGTGACTCTGTGGTGAGCTATTCTGGAGCTGGGAGACGAGCAAAACCAGGGGTACATTTCTGTCTCTAAAGCCACATTTGGGCTGTCAATCTGCTTGGTTACAGGAAATTCCGGTTTCTGGACCTCTCTATTTAGGCCAACGAGCGGGGCTTTATGTAACGTCTCGATCAGGATAATCTGCCAGATTTATCGCAAGCACCTTCACACAAATTGCCACTTAATACTTCCAATAGCAAGCTCAAAATTGAGTTCTTTCACTTCGATGAACAGGGTTGAATAAGGCTTCCTTCAGCTCCAGTGAAGACTCCTGGCTTAGGGAGCTTGCCAGGCTCTGGGCTCAGTCCAGTGCAGTACTGGGGGGAGCACTGCACTGTGGAAGATGGCGTCCTTCGGATTGACATTGATCCGACATTCAACTGGACGTTAAAAATCCCGTGGCACTGTTTGAAAAGAAAGAGAGGTTTCTCCTGGTATTCTAGCCAACAATCCTCCAGATAAATTGACTTCGGAGTCCTGTAGCTCAGTGGTTAGAGCACTCGCTTTGCAAGTGAGAGACCTGAGTTCAATTCCAGGCAGAGGGCCAAACCTTGGGCAAGTTTCCTTACTCCACACAGAGCCTAATAATAATCCCTCCAAAACCAAAAACAATAATTAATTGGTCATTTTCAATCTACGACTGTTTGTGGGACATTGCTGTGCGCAATTGGCTGCCGCGTTCGCCCACAAATATACAGTCAATTCACTTTGCAGTATGTTCTGTGAAGCGCTTTGGGACGTCCTCCCGACGTGAAAAGCGCTATATCAAATGCAAGGATTATTATTATTATTATTAAGGGCTGTTTGTGGGACATTGCTGGGTGCACATTGGCTGCCATTGCCTGCAAACTCACAGTCACAACACTTCACACTAAATCCTGTGAAGCACTTGAGTTGCCTGGTCAGTATGTTCGGCTGCTTCATCAGATAAAATGATTATTATTATTATTATTGTTGTACGGGTTGAAGTGAACGTGTTTTACAATCCATGCATGTGAGCTAATACTAAAGCTGCAAAATAACCTTCAAATCTGGCTGTAAATCTCCCTTTGCACAAGTTGAGTAGAATAAAATTCTAAACCCCTCTATTTTATGCAGTGTTGTTAACACTTGCCCAACTGATTCAACCAGACCCTCCCCCACCTCTACAAAGGTCTAGAATGACTCATGAATTGAGTGTTACGGGCTGGGGGTGCGCACAGAAAAGTCTTTCTTCCCGCCTCCCCCCCCAGAAGTAAAATAAATTTACATGACAGAAGAAGGCCATTTGGCCCATCATGTCAATGCTGGCTCATCTACACCTGAGGCTCCATGTCTCCACAATCTTAGTCTTTAAGTCCATTTTCTTAAA